AACACATCTTTGCAGAAACCACAATATTCATTAAAACTCATTTTACCTTTGTTCCCTTTTAATTTTTCATATTTTATGATTTTTATCATTATGTAAATAATGATAGCCAATATTATATATGTTAATAATATAAATAAGACAGACGGTATTATTGTTTGTTCTGTGGTTATATAACTTTCAAATTAGCATTAAGTTTCATACCTGTAATCTTATCTAATACTGGAAGAATTACTCCAAGTAATGGAATTAAACATGTAGTAACAAAACAAAATCCGTATTTCGAATGTATTTTTTTCTTTAGTTTTTTATTATCATTTTTACCTGCTTTATCAATTTTGTCTATTGCATCGAATATTTTTTTTTCACAATAACAGTCCATCTTTCCTAATCCTATCCTTTTAGCATACCTATCATTATACTCATTTATGTAAGTTTCTAAATCTTTTAATTTCTCTATTTTCTGTTTTTTTTTCTCCGCCTTGTCTTCCTTTTTTTTTTGTTTAATTTCTTTTTTCTCATTTGCTTTTATCTCGTATTTCTCTTTAATTTCTCTTTTTTTCTCCAATATTATGTTTTCGTACTTATTTCTAATCATGTATTCTCCGAGAGTATATAAAATTTGTGATAAACAAGTAATCATTAGTGTAAGAAATATCAATGAGTCTAATGATTTATTCATTCCATACGTTGAATTACTGTACTTGTGCGTAAAAATAATAACTAAAGCAAAATGTACGGATTTTATAGCAATATCATTATTAATATCTTCAAAAATAGAAAATAGTGTATTACTCAGTTTTGCAGATAATGGAGTAGAATTTATTAATATGTAATCTTTACATAACATTTTTTCTATAGTTTTTTTTGTAATAACTTCATTAAAATTATGATTATCTGATTTTTCAGAATGTCCCAGTACTACATCTTTAATGGAATAATCGATTGATTTTATGTAGTTGTAGATATAAGATATTTTTAATAATCTTTTGTTTACAATATATGTTCGGTTATAACCACTTTTGCGTCTCTTGGAATTCTTATTGGATACCTTTTTAATGTTTTTATTCAATGATACATTTATTGCACTTTTTTTTAATTTACTATCATCCACATTGCTTGACAAATTGTTTTCTAATTCCACTTTATTCGATTCCCCTTTAATTTCTTGTATTGCCAATAATCGATCACTTCTGATAATTATAGGTTCACGTAGAATACAAACATTACTTAAACATTTACAAAATATACTCTTGAAAGAACAAAGAAAATATAAATACATAGAATAGATAGCTACAAATTAAACATAACCGATGTTAAATATAAATAATATCAGAAGAAATACACAATATTCATATATTGATATAATACCTCAGGTATAGAACACATATATATCCAAGTTAAAATGATAAATGTAATGATTTTAATAAAAAGTATAATCCTAATCTTTCTTCTCATTTTGGATTATTTAACACTATCATAAAACTGAGTTCTTTTAGATGTTTATATATTATATACATAAAGAAATATATTCGTTCATAATATATTTTATTTTTGTGCTCGTCCTTAGTTATTATTACATTTAAAAATGTTTAAATATTTTACTCTGATATAAAAGGATGATAATATATATGATATAGAATGATAAGGGAACATACATGACATTAATATATTACATATATCAATTTTAATTAACATTAATTAATAAAAATATATTGATATTTTGTAATATTTTTAATATACACAAGCTAATATAAAGGCTTAATGAAAATTAAAATTTAACATAGAAAAAAATAATCTATTGTATTATAATAAAATATTTTGCTTTAATTATTTTATTAATTATCATGCACACTATATAGTCAAATAGGGGTAGTTAAGTTTTAACTCATTACATCATTACACTTTTTCTATGTGTAAAAAATAAGCTATTGATACAACACTTCATGGATTTTTATAATACAAAAAAAATAAAACACCATGCATTTAATTACAAACATTGCTGTAAGAATATGTATATAACTATAACAATATTACATATCCTCTTCTAAATTCTTATTTTCATATTTAATATGTTATTCATTCTACAAAAATAACACATATCAATCTACATATATCTACTACAGCTAAACAAAATGTACATGTCTACTCATAGAAATAATATTCAAATAATACACGAATTCATAAATAACTATATGTATAATATTCAGCGAAATAAAATATATAATGTAAAATATTCTATTTAACGTACACAATGAAATTTTTATTTAGTATTAACATATAAAATAATTTTGCGTAATAAACTTACTTTGAAACTTTTTTACGTTTAAGGCTTAGTCCTCTTGATTTAGACTAATTTATTTATTACTCTTTTCCTGTTAATAATTTAGACAGTGCTTTTATATGTTTATTTTATATCATTCATCAAATTTATGTAAACTAGTTTTATATCATATAACATAATACAAATAAACGATTTAATCTAATTTAACAATTATCATGAACATGTGTTTCAAAGAATTCTACAACGAAAATTGTACTTATATATATTTCTTTTCCACATACATATATATACTAGACATAGACATAATTAATAATAAAAACTCATAGGAATTGAAACAATCTATTTTAAATACATATATATAAATGAATAAATAATTATTCATTGTATTTGGATATTAAAATGCTGCATTTTACATTATTATTGTTTTATCATACATTATTTCTAATATTTAAAACTTTTAATAAAAAAAAAAAAAATAATATTCCAGTACTACAAGATTAATTTTAGAATGTACCTAATTTACATTGTATCGTGGCTTATTCAAAAATAAACTCACATGCAGCTTTTTATATAGGTATAATTTGATGTACTAAATCAATATGATACTGCGCACTCAACAGAGAACATTCAATTTTTTGAAGGAAATGGTATAGTAATTACATATATATATCACATTCTATAAATGATAAGGATTAATGATTCAACAATATATTTTTTTTTCTCGTCTATAATAAGTACAAACGTTGTTTCTAAATTCTTATGTATTTATTTCAAGTAAATAATAAGCAACTTATAAAAAATAATATTTATTGATTTGCTTTTACATAAATATTTTTCAGACGGTGTTATTGAAAAAAAATATTTTTAAATTTATTTTCATTATTAATAACAACTAGAATTAATATAATTTTTTTTTACATTAAAATACAAAGAATTTAATTCATTCTTCATATAAAAATATAAGAGAATGTTTTTAATTATTTCAATAAATATCCATATAACAATGCCATACAATAGAAAAAAAATTACAATACGTAATTGAAAATTTTAAATGATGTTGTACCGTTTTGTAATATAAATTTTAATTAGAACACAAATAATTTTCCAAGAACCATATGAAAAAAAACTGATGTATAAGTTTATTAATACTTCCATATATAAGATAAATATTATATGTTGCGAAATTGTAAAAAATAAAAAATTATATAATAAGAAATATATATTTATTTATGATAAACGCAAAATGCTTAAATAGACTCAAACATGATAATAATATTAATTGCGCACTTAAATAGCTGATATAAATACATAGGCTTCAATGTTATAAAAAAAATTACAAAGAATTATTAAATTATTTTAAAAATGTAAAGAAATCATGAATTTATTTATATTCTTTTCTTAATATGTATATTATATATTTATGCAACAAATTCATTATAATTAACTAAATATAAAATGGTATATATTTATCGTTTTCTGCATTTTTACGTTCCTTACTTTACAAATTAATCCATAAGATAAATAATAGCTAATGCTAATATAGAAATAAATGCAACGCAAGCTCCGTAATACAAGAACACTAAAAAATTATAATGAGTTTTTGAAAAATAATCTGTTATAAGTAATGTGGGAAATATGGATAAAAATAAACCAAAAGAAAAAAATGAAAAAAAAAATTCAAAACTATGTATAAAACGATTTCTTCTTCTTCTCGCTTTATACAATTCTATGCGTTGCTTGATATTTTTTATGTTTTTATATTCTGCTATAATTCTTTCTTTACTCCTTAAATTAGAATTCTTTAATAATGATTTCATAACTAATTTATTTTTTTTAGAATTCTTATTAACACTATTACTTTTATTGGTAGTTTTTTCCATTTGATTAAATGTAGAATGATGATTATTTTCAATGATTAAATTTTTATTTCCGCTTTGGTCCCAATTATGTTCATCCATTTGTGGGTTTTTTAATTCTTTTTCCATTCCATTCTTTGCCAGCATCCGTTGATTTTTTATTCCAAATGTCCCACTTAGATTGTATGATTTACTCAATATTTTACCAATTGAAGACTCCACAAAAAAAAAAAAAAAAAATTAAATAAAAATAATGTTAACATGGGTTCTATAAATTGTAATATACCAAAATTACATACAAATTTATTAGGAATAATAATATATACAAGTAAAAATACCAATTCAATAATGCTATAAATCCATGTTAACATAAGAAATGCATTTATTTTAATAAAAGTGCGCATATTCTTCGTTTCCTTCATTATGAAAATCAATAACTAATGCATTTATGACATATAAAAGTGTTTTAAATATATTTTAATAATTTTATATTAGAATGTCTTTTCTTTATAATAAAAATATTTTATTTTATTTAAATTTTCAAACGATATATTATTATAAAATTAATGTAAATCTAAATGGTATGGAAATTTCCTAAGAAGGTTTATTAGATTATACACGTAAAAAATTGTAGGAAAAAATGACATTACTAAAATAATTTTACCTGTATATCCTTCAATAATATATAGAATAATTTATTTTTATGTTATAAATGTAAAATGATGTACAATATAACATATTGTATAAATGATATATAATGCAAATATCTAATCATAAATAGAATAATTATATTTAAAAATTTTTTTTTTTGTTTAATAATCTTATTAATATATAAGATACAAGTTTACACAAAAAATAATTCTCCCAATTTCTATTAATTTTTCCAATTCTTCTTCTTGGTAATAAATAAATCAAAGATATTAATCCAACTTTTTCTAGTATAAATAATAGTGTTTTCTATGTTGATATAAAGATAACAATATTTTCCTATATGGCATGAACGATAAATTAAAAACAACACTATTATAAATATTTTATAAGGTCTATTTTTTATTCCTTTAATATTAATTCATAATTTATACATCATTTCTATGTAATATCCCTTTTATTTAGGAAGGTATATGTATTGTTATACATAAATAGGTTATTGTAAAAAATTATTAATTATATTTTTTTCTTATTATCAATTTTTTATATATTTTTAAAATGGATTCTACAAAAGAAAAAATGACATAATGTATTAAATTGCTGTAATAATTTTAATTCATATGCAGCTATTTATTTATTATTACAAAGGAAATAGTTGTGACATGCACTATAATATTATACATATTTATGCTATATAAAAATGTTAAAAAAAGTTTCGTAATTTCTTATTTAAATAAAATATATACTATGACATTTTAATTTGAATGAATAATAATTCTTTTTGCATGTTATATGTTTATATAATAAATAAAAAATAATCATTCAATTTAAATAATATTTTTTAAATATAAAAAAAATATTACATAATATATATATTTATATTAACGACACACTTCTCTATAAACCATATATGCTCTTTTGTATTTTTCACATAAAAACGTAAATGTATAATATTATTTATATTTACAACCTTTTAGTAAAAAAATAATATACATTTAATTATTTCTATTCCTCTTTTGTTATAAGCATTTTTAATATTCATTTATCTATAAATTAATTCATATATTCATATTGTGAATTTGTATGCATATTAATTACTTATTTAAGTGTTGTTTTATTTTAACAATTCTTATAAAAACCCTGTATAAATTTCATTTTGTAAAACTACATAGTTAAATTCATATAGAAGTAATATTAAAAAAAATATGAAGGACACATTATAGTTAAGTAATATGTTTGAATATATAGATTGATATATAAAAGAAAAAATATATACAAATTCCTATTATATATTATATAATTTCTTATTTCTTCATTAATTATAGAAAATATATGTGAATAGTATATTTTTTCTATTATTGTAACATAAATATAAGTAAATCACTAAAGTATTTATTAATAATACCAGTTATAATGTTATGGAAAAAATTACACGTTTTTCTATAAAATAGGATATATCAAGTGCTATTTATATAAAAATATATATATAATATTGATAAGATAAATTAAACGTTCATATTCATATTAAATGTATATATAATCTATTGATAATTCTAAAATAGTAAGGAAAAACATACTACGTGTACTATTAAAAATAACATAATGTAAAGATATTTATTGACAGAAAAAGATGAATATATATGATGTACCTTTTATATATATGAAGATTAATTATTAATGATCCTTTAAGTTTTATTTAGTAATTCTCTATTCTTTAATCATTCTAAAGATTCTTTTTTTTCCTACTAAAATTTGGTTCTTAATATAGAGAAAAATATGTAGAATGATATTAAACATAATTTAGAATAATATATCTATTATCAACAACATGAGATAAAATATTGTTATTTTTACGATTTCTATGAAAAAATCTTATTTTCTTTCACATCAAAATCTACATAAATCTGTAATCTATTTTTATATATGTTTACTTCTAATTACATATATAAATAAAAATAATTTTTTATCTAATATTTTTTCTGTTTTTACATACGTTATAAATTTAATATATGTTAATAACTGAAAAACATGATTAAAAACCATTATATATGCTATATATTATGAAAAAATATTATTTCTTATGTCATGAAGTATGCGTGATTATACATATATATGACAACATTTATGATTATACATTCATCTTAATTATAGAATAATTAGGATATATGAGACCTAATTTGTATCCAAGAAGGTCTATTTTATAAAAAAAAATTATATAACCTATATAAAAAAAAAAAAAAAATGCATGCAATATATAAAATATAATACGGATAAGGATATTAGGAGAACATAATTATTTAAATGTATATATGTGTCCTAATTATTACTGTTTATGTAAAGCTTTTTCAAATAATAATTTATGTAAAAGGTCAATGTATTTATACTTCATTATCCAATTAATATGATTTATAATATTCTATACTTCGTTAATCTCTATATGTAATATATGAATTAATTTTAAAATGGGTAATTATAAAAATATCTATTGCAGAAAAAAAAAAAAAAATAAATATACCCTACTACATTTCACAAAAAAATTTAAATGTAGATAAAATAAGAAATTATATATATCAATAGAATAAATAAATATATAATTTTCTTTGAAACAGTAATAGTAATATTATGACATCAAACATTTTAATTTTGGAATCTAAATCTCATATTATTATACTTGTGAGTAATTTATGAATTGTATAATATATAAACAATAAAAAATATATTTTATACATATAAAAACCAATAATATTGTTATAATTTAATAGTATATTTAATGTTTAACACATAAAGAATTGTAATATCCTGTAAAAGTATTCATTAACAACCATAATTATTTATTTAGGCATGTGTTCTATAATTTTATTTATATATTTTGTTGCATCTTACTTTTACGTTATAATTTAATTTATATAGTTCAATTACAATCTAATTCATTTATTTAGTTAATAAATATGTACCATATTAATTATTTTCTTAAAGATATATTGTTGAATACATTTGTTTTGTTTAGAATTTATACACATAAATTTAACTAAATTTAGTTTGAATTCCGTTATGTATATATAGTATTTCAGTATAAATTTACTAATTTATATTAAAGTTTTCAATTCAATTATTTTACATTAAGAAATGTTATACATATATATTTGAAATGTATATTAATAATAAAATATGTATTATTAATAATCATCATATAATATGTATTTAATATACTTTCTTTTAATGTTATAAATACATAAATTATGATAAAGCATTCACTACTTAATAAATTATACAACTAATAAATAACAACATGGCAGCATTACTTCAGTTTGTCTTTTTCATTAAAATTCATATTATATTATTTTTTATATGGATATACCATTGTCACAATGATGACGTAAAATAATACAATAACACTTGTCTTACATTTTTTAACAGATATTTTTTGGCTTTTAAACATAGTTACAAAATATAGTAAAATATAATGTTTTAGATCATATATATTATTATTTTCCCCTTTTAGAAACCTCACATTAAATCAATAGAAAATTTTAGAAGCCCTGATGCATCATTAGCTTTAAGGAGAAATCGATTATTATGGAAAATTAATATTAAAAAAAAAAATAAGAGCGAAGAATTAAACGAGAGCAAAAACGGTGATATGAACACCATGGATTTAAATAACAATATAAAAATGCACAATATTACGTATAGTGATCAAGATCATATTAAATCATTAAAAGAAAATAAAAAGAAAGAAAAATTTGCAAAAAAAGAATTAAAAAAATCATTAATGCGTAAAATGAAATCCCAGAAAGTGTATAAAAGAAAAAGACCTAAATTATATAATATTTTTGCACTGATAGATTTCTATATTGAAAAAAAAATATTTTATAGAATGTGTAAGATACACAATTTGATTAAACGCAGGAATATAAATAAAAAAACAAATGGAATCCATCAATACAAAAACATCATAATTATATTTTCTTTGCCTCTGATCATTTTTGCCTCAGGATCTATTTTTTTTCCTTTAATGTCTTACGTATTTAATGATAACAAAAATTTAATTTTTGGCACATTGGTTTCTTGTGTGATATCATTATTGATACTCGTATATATTTTAAGAAAAATTTTAATATGTCGTAAATTACTTAAATCCGAAGAAAAAAATAATATAATTGAATATATTTATTCTTTATGAAGTTATATAAATAATTTATAGCCTACTATAGTTATTTATATAACATCATATTTTTAATCACATTTTGGCACACGTCAAATTTCTATAAATATATATATAATTCTGAAAGATTACAGAAAGTAATTAATATAAAATAATACAAATTCGTATAATTAAGAACATTTCATACTATCATGCATCTATTTGTATATCTTACAAACCTTTAAATATAATTCGTTATATATGTTTTTGTAAATTTACTATATTTTATAGAAATTCTCACCCATGTACAAATGCATATATTCATCCGGTTATTTAATCCAAGAGTTCGAATAATATATGTTTTTAATTATTAAAAAATATACTACAATTATTTGTCATTCTATTTATCTGATAACTTAATGTAAATCTTATATAATTATTTTAGGATAGTGTTTACTTTCTACACGTATATTTGTTAATTTTGATCACCCTAACTCGCATAATTTGTTATTTGTTTCATTTAATATAAAAATAAAAAAGATCAAAAACTTAATTTGTTTGTTTCTAAGTAAAAATATGTCTAATTTTTCATACAATGAAGAGTAGTAAATTTATATATATGATTTTAATCATATAACATATAAATAAATGTAAAAAAAAATGTACTTATCAATGCTATTAACTGTAAATATTTTGAACGATTAATGAATACAATAATGTATTTTAAAATATAGAATGAAGTTATATACCAGATAATACCTAGAAAATGCTTTTCAATTATTGCAAAAGGTAGAAAGTGATCATAAAAACATTTATTAATAAAGTTCTAAGTATAACTGTTGTTCGTATAAGTGTTCTTCATAAAAGAGTAAAATAAATATAATTTACATATAAACAAAGGAAAATAAAAAAAATAAATAATCCAAAAAAAACACTGAGAGACATTCAATTATTAATCATATATTCAGCTAATTTGAAATATTATCTTATATTTTTTTATTGTAGCTATATATATAGATAGATGCCATATGGAAATTGCTTACGTAACTAATACATTTACATATAGATTACCTTTTAAATGGAATGTATATCATATTATTTATATTCTATATCATAATCATGTATAAACCCATAGTCATTGAAATTTTAAAGGTAAATTCTGTTTTCTCAAGTTATTATTTCATGCTACATAACTCATAGATACCTGGGACAAAAATAAAATATACGTAATTCAAATTTCGCCAAGAAAAAGAGAAACCGAGACTTATTAATTTATATTTCAGTGAGAGTAAATTTTAACGAATTCAAAAAGTTAATACAATGTTTTTATCATCTTGTAGGATATTATACAAAATAATCCAAAAAATAATTTGAGCATATTACAAAGAATTATTATTCATATATAATGACTAGGACCGTGCAAATTTTCACAAGAAAAAAATAAAATACTTAAAGTATTAAAATTTTTCTAATAATGCCTTATGTTAATATTATCGCATAAATGGGTAAATAATGTAATTATCAGTTTTTATATTATTTCCTTAGGACATATTTTTTATAATAGTTTCTATATGATATTTAATAATTTACGCAAGATATTTATCAGGAAATATATTGATGCATAATTCATTATTTTAATAATGGAATATAATGAACAAAAATGTTATATTATTATGTATTGTGTATTTATTCCTTGTGAGAATGGTTGATAATTTATTATTATAACTGTAAACAAAATTATTTATAATAGGTTTAAATTGTTTAAAGTGAAAATAACTATATATAATATATCATGTATGTTGTTATTTTGTAAATTACTAATATATGAAGCATGAATGATAAAAATACATATATGTTTATAATAACTTGCAATGAAATATGAATTAGGAGCATATACTAATTATCTATGTGATGAATGAATAATTTTTGATAAAAATTTTTAAAAAAAGTATTCTCAATTGTTAAATATAATATATATCTGATATATTATAATTCATATATAAATAAACTATGCTATTATAATATAACTTATAAAGGTAAAAAAAATAAATTATATAAGCGATTATGTTTTATCATGTGTTGAATATAATACTTAGATATTTATATTAAAAAAATTCAACATTAAATTTAAAATTTCAGTATTACAACTGCCATAAACTGCAAAAATATTGTTCTTTATATTATATCATCAAAAAGTAAGATCATTTATATTCATCTTATTCATTTTATTTACGGAATGGATTATATATTATAGATATTCATTTATTTTACAATATATATCCTTGATTTATAACATTTAGCTACCATATTTCTTATAAATACTTGAAAAAAAAAAAAATGTATATTACAAAAATTATAATATATGATTTGCCTTCTTTACAATAAAAACATAAAAATTAATATTTATTCATTCTTCTATATGGTTTATACTATATGTCATATTTTTTGTATCTTTGTTGAAACATTGTATTTCTTCAAAATACAACTTAAGAAGCAATAAAAAATATAATGTTTACATGCATAATGTATTTAAGACCTAGTTATCTTTTTTTATTAGATATATATAAAAATAATTTCAACATCTTCAAAAATATGCCTTTATAACTATGCATATATATTCCTGATAAATATATTGAATGTATAAATTTATAAAGATAAATGGCATTTGATCATATAGCTATATTAAAAGTTTTATAATATAAAAATTTGTACATATATTACACATGAAATTTAAATACAATTAATCTAATGTATGGAAATTATTTTTTAGTAAACTTTTATGATTTTTAATATAAGAACAGTGAAGTTGCAAAAAACTAAAACAAAAACGTTATTTATAATTATATTTAAAATATTCTTAAATGAAGTTATATATAATCCAGAAAAAACTACATCATGGTGTTAACTCTTTAAATACTAATGTATTACTATTAATGATGAACAGTATTGTTTATTTTATTATTTTATTTTTTATATTTAATATATAATAAATGTACATTCAAATGAAAGTATGATAAAATGTTTTCTGTAATTTGTTAATTTGTGTATTTTTTTCTCCTGAAAGAATTGTTAATATAATATGACATATATGTATATATATATATATTTCCGCAATTTCACTGAATACACCTATTTTGCCAAACTTTGAAACGTTAATTTGAATTAAAAACACAATACCTTTGAAAAGAAGCTTATTTATAACGATACCTTTGTATTTTTAACACAAGCCTCATGCATCTCATTGATGTACTTTCATTATGTTGTTCATAAATTGTAGCATAATTTTCTCCTTTACAATAATAAATACGCTTTGAGGTATGTATCATACAGAATCACATCAAAACTATTCATGTTTTTTCGCATATCTTTTTTTTTCATTTCATGTGTGCATTATGAGTAGATATATTCTCACAGAAAACACGCGCAGTTGTCAGTAAAAATCTAGAATATTTCATCCCTTTTGACGTTGTAATATATATATTAGAAATAAATTTATAAAAGCATATTCCCCTAACATTAGAATTTGTTTATGCCATATTTCACGTTAAAACTACGTGCACTAAACGAAATGTCATAAAAGGACAAAATTAATCACTTAAAATTTTTTTTTTTTTTTCCACGAATGCATTTATGTATACTAATGGATATCATGCACACACATATTTTTAGGCTTACATAATATTAACATTGTACATTATATATATTTTTTCTTGTTCATATTTAATTTTATCATTTTATTCTAATGATATTAATCCATTATTATATATGGTAATACATGGCAATATATGGTAATATATTGTAATATAATAATATACCTTTCCTTAGAACCACTTTGCATAATTACAAGCTTAAGGAAAGTTAATAAGCCGTTCTAAAAACACTCAAAGTCGGAAGTGGCTTTAGATCACTATCTATATATTTGTGTATGTAGAAATTCCAAATAATTACATCATTATTTTTGTCTGCATTTTGCCAATCATTAAGAGTAAAGTTGCTTTTACTAAAAATGTTTCAAACATCCCAAGTACAGTGATGTATTTTTTTTTTTTTTTTTACACGAAAGGGTCATTTTTCAAATTCTTTATTACAAATTCGTTAAAAAAAATATATATACAATTTTTTGTTTTTCTTTGGGCTTCAAAAATATGCACTATTAGATATGTACTCCTTCATCTAAGCACACATATTCTTTCTAAAATGCATCACCAAAAAAAAAAAAAAA